TAAAAAAATTATTTTATATTCTTCTTGAATAATTATCTGTAATTTTTTATTTGAGTGTAACTATAAAAGATCAAAGTGCCTCAACCTTCTAATAAAAATAAATATAGTTCCATTTATCTATTTATAATAAATATTAATTTTAATATTGATATAAAAAATCCAAGTTTTCCACTGCGTGTGTTGTAAACACCATTTGTTTTTACAATCATACCTGGATTCAACTTTGAATATAAAGAATACAGCCATTTAATTTAATCATTTTTCTTTATAAAGACAAAACTTACGTATAATATTATAGGTATTATATTTTAATTACGTTTGAAATTTCACTTTAATAATATGTAACTATATTAATTTATAAAAGAAATATGTCTTTTAATAATTAACTTAATCTTAATGTGATAGATTATTATACCTTTTATTATTAAAAATTAATTTTTTTTATTAAATCTAAGACTTAAATTCAAAACCTTCAAATATGAGGACAAATCACAATAATAATTAAACTAACATATTTTTATTATTTAATCTTATTTTTATTTTATTTTTAATCAAAATATAAAATGTTTTGATTCCACTAATAATAAATAATTTAATTAAATGTTAATATATATTATGAAGGTAAAACTTTAATTTTAATAAAAAAAAGACTAAATTATATTTTTTTCCTTTAACATATTTTTAATATTCATTTAAATTCTTTATCTTATTAAAATGTTTCTAAATTTGGGTCGATTATATCCGTTTAAAATAACAATTATTTTCGATTTTTATATATGACTTTGAATTATTTTTCGACTAATTAAAGAATTTAAATTTGTCTAATTAAATTCATTTATGTGAAAATTATTAAACAAAAATAAAGTTCAAACAAAAAAGTATCATAAACATGATAAAAATTACATAAAAATAAGTTAAAAAATAATTATAAGATAAAAAACATTATTTTATATTATTTTTTAGCTACTTGTGAAATATATTTTTTCACATAATTTTTATTATATTTATAATGTGAATTGGATTTCAGTTTATATATAGATGAATTTAATGTTACAAGTCTCATGTCTATGATCAATAAAATATTAAATCAAAATTATGTCATAAAATTAAAAATGATCATTTTAAAATAATCAAATTGATTAAAAAAATATCAAAATAAATATTTTAATAGATAAAAAAATTGCCTTAAAAAACAACACAAATAATATATATTCTTTTGGTATATTGATAAATAAACAAACAAAGAAAACTATATGAAATATAAACCAACTTCATGCAAAAATTATTTGTAACACTATACTTTTTTTCAATTGTTATTTCTTTCAATAATTATTTGTTGTGGTGATTTTATTGCTTATTGTTGAAAAACTTTGAGAATTTAGAAATTCTCATGAGTTTAGGTGGTTTATAAGTTTTTTTTTTTTTTTTTACACAAAGATCCAGTTTGATTTTGAAGAAAAAATATATAAGGTTTCTTTTGAGATTTAAGTTTCATAAACTAAACTGACTTCTCATAGAACCTTAGAGAAAAGTTAGAGAGAAAAACTTTAAGATTATGAAGTCCTCGTTCTCTCTTTCTAACCTTTTTGAGTGTGTAAAAAATTGTAGTTGAACAATTGAGTAGAAATTTGACGTTGAAAAACTTGAAATCAGACCCGTTATATATGCAGCATTCTAAATTTTTAATTGTAATGATTTTTTTAGCAAGTTGAGTGGATATAAGGGATACTTAATTATATTATCATGGAATGATAAAATTTTAAAAGTGTTAGTATTTAATTTTATGTTTGGGTTCCTAAAAATATATATTTATATATAAATTATGTAAAAGTTTATTATATAAATAATATAATATAAATATAAATGTAAAATAGTAGTTTATTTTAGATATATATAACCATATCCATTAGGATTTATTAAATAAAGTATATAATGAGAAAAATGAATACTAGTTCTTTCTTTAAAAAAAAAATATGACGAAATAAGGTTACAATGCATATATAAGATAGTGGGGTAAGATGTTTAGTTGTAATGCTAAGTTGTAGACCATGAGGTGTATGTTGTTTAGTTTACATATTAGTGTTTGTTATATAATTGTTTTACTTCAATATTTGTGCGTGATTATTCTTTTGCAATCTAGCTTACCTGTACATATTTTTCTTGTGATTGGATTGCGATGATTATGTTTACATGGAAGCAGTGAAAGGTTAGGTTGAGCAAGATGCGTTGGTAAATACTAGTGGTTGGCTTGTTGTAGTTAGTTGGATTACTCTGAAGTGACCAATTGGTTTAATTGTTCATTGTTTTATTTTCTCAATTATTTTACCCACATATATATAGTACTGTGCATATATCGAAATATTGTATATATTAATTCTAGGTAGTTGTAGCCTTATTTTTTGCTACTAGTAGTTAAACCATTAAATGTAGAGATTATGGAGTATTGTTACAATATTTTATAATTTTTATAAGACTAAAATTTTACTTTTTATCTTTTGTTCTTATTAAAGATTTTTCATATGTGTGTTTCTTGTTATGAATAATGAAAAGAAAAATTAATAAATAATTTTTTTTCTCACCTCTTAAACTCTCTAATTATCATTTATTAATTTTAATTGGTATTGATATATATATATATATATATATATATATATATAATAATATTTTTACATCGTAATTCTGTTTTATAAAATTAACAAAAAAAATTAATTAATATGACTTCTTATATTGATATTAAGAATATTTTATAATAAAATAAAGATTAGAAGTGATGGAGGCCCATGGGCCAAGGGCCCAATCACTAGGGCCATGGTCAAGAGATTGGAGGAAGGATGAATCAATAATCAAGAAAAGCCCATAGTACTCTTTAGTTAGGCTATGCTTTAAAGCTCATATAGAATAGGGTTGACTCATTGGACTTGTAATTTTGTTTGTGGGCCTTGTATTTTGGCCAAATAAGATAGGATTTTGAGCCTTGTAATTTTTGGCCATTTCTAGACTTAGGAATAATTAAGCACATGTGTCATCTCATTTACATGTAATTTAGCTTGCATTTAGTTAGCATTTGAACCATGTGACCGGCCAAGTGGAGTGGCGCACATGGCATGACTCAAATGCTACTCAAATGCAAGCCAAATCACATTTAAATAAGACTTGCACGTGGCCAGAGTCAAATTTGAATTTTTGAATTCAAATTTGGTGCCTTAGGTTAATTTAAACCATACCATGGTTTATCTTAACCTTAGGTTAATGCTAACTTCTCTTACACACTTCCTAAGTCTATATATTTCATATGGCCATGTACTTTCACTCACTTTGGCATTTGAATGAGAATTAACCTTCTTCTAGATTTCAAATTCTCTCACCGAAGTCACCAAGGAGAAATCTAATCTCCAAGTTTCCTTGAGCCTTCCTCTTTGTAGCTTTAAGTTGAATCTTCTTCTATTTCAAGAAGCTTTGTTGACCTTGGAAGCAAGATTCTTCAAGAGATAGGTTCTTCATCTTTTGGTGTGATTTTTCTTGTTATGAATAATGAAAAGAAAAATTAATAAATAAATTTTTTTTCTCACCTCTTAAACTCTCTAATTATCATTTATTAATTTTAATTGGTATTGATATATATATATATATATATATATATATATATAATAATATTTTTACATCGTAATTCTGTTTTATAAAATTAACAAAAAAAATTAATTAATATGACTTCTTATATTGATATTAAGAATATTTTATAATAAAATAAAGATTAGAAGTGATGGAGGCCCATGGGCCAAGGGCCCAATCACTAGGGCCATGGTCAAGAGATTGGAGGAAGGATGAATCAATAATCAAGAAAAGCCCATAGTACTCTTTAGTTAGGCTATGCTTTAAAGCTCATATAGAATAGGGTTGACTCATTGGACTTGTAATTTTGTTTGTGGGCCTTGTATTTTGGCCAAATAAGATAGGATTTTGAGCCTTGTAATTTTTGGCCATTTCTAGACTTAGGAATAATTAAGCACATGTGTCATCTCATTTACATGTAATTTAGCTTGCATTTAGTTAGCATTTGAACCATGTGACCGGCCAAGTGGAGTGGCGCACATGGCATGACTCAAATGCTACTCAAATGCAAGCCAAATCACATTTAAATAAGACTTGCACGTGGCCAGAGTCAAATTTGAATTTTTGAATTCAAATTTGGTGCCTTAGGTTAATTTAAACCATACCATGGTTTATCTTAACCTTAGGTTAATGCTAACTTCTCTTACACACTTCCTAAGTCTATATATTTCATATGGCCATGTACTTTCACTCACTTTGGCATTTGAATGAGAATTAACCTTCTTCTAGATTTCAAATTCTCTCACCGAAGTCACCAAGGAGAAATCTAATCTCCAAGTTTCCTTGAGCCTTCCTCTTTGTAGCTTTAAGTTGAATCTTCTTCTATTTCAAGAAGCTTTGTTGACCTTGGAAGCAAGATTCTTCAAGAGATAGGTTCTTCATCTTTTGGTGTGATTTTTCTTGTTATGAATAATGAAAAGAAAAATTAATAAATAAATTTTTTTTCTCACCTCTTAAACTCTCTAATTATCATTTATTAATTTTAATTGGTATTGATATATATATATATATATATATATATATATTTTGATATAAAATAATATTTTTACATCATAATTCTTTTTCATAAAATTAATTAATATGACTTCTTATATTGATATTAAGAATACTTTATAATAAAATAAAAATTAGAAGGAATATTAATTTTCATATTTGAATTTAAATCTTATTATATAACTTATTTTAAGTCTTTCAACTTTTGTTAGATTGGGTGGATTTGAACCTCTCTAGTTGTAGCAATATTCAAGGTGTGGGACATCTTGTTAAATCTTATATTTAATAATGAGAAAAAGCATGCCGATCAAGTATTATTAGAATAATTAATATTGTAGCAGATGGCATGATATGAACATGATAACAATCCATTACATTACGACGTTATGCTTTGTTGTTTGAAAGTGACTCCCACGTAGCCTACTCTTCTATAATATTATATATTCTCTGCCTTCTCTCTCTTTTCTTTTCTCTAAATAAATCTAATCAGAATCTTCACCAGTTAATCAGCTTTGAGTAGATAAGACTGGTGGATGTGTCATCTCTTTTATTCAACCTTCAATTTTGTTATTATTCCTCTCCCGGTAAGAGAAAAAAAGAAACTCTCTCCATATTCACTAATTAATTCTCATAACACATATGATATGCTTAATCTTAATTATGGTCTCTTCTGTTTGATCATTCGCCTCTGCGATCTTCAATCACCTCGGTGTGTTTTGGTCTAAGGATCCTTTTTGGGGAAACAAACTCATGTGCTCAGTCCCCAAGAGACTAATATTCTTTGAAACATCTTAAAAAAGCCTTGGATGTATGTGTGTCCTTGGGTTTTGATACTCAATTATCCTGTTTGTGTCAATCTTGAAATCTTGGATTTGCTTGCAAGATTATATCAAGACCCTTTCCTGCCTCCTTTCATTAGGAAAACTGGCTTTGCAAAATTGGCAATCTTTGTGGGTTTAGTGATATGGGGTGCTCTTTGTATCTTCTCTAATTTGTTTTCCTTATAAAAAGCCTTGAAATTTGATGGAGTATATTCATTGCTATTACCCTATGCATGCAATTCAACAAAAAAATGTTGGGTTGAAATAAAGTTTGATTATGATTTAGGATTATGAGATAATTTGTATATAATCCACATAATAAAAAAAGTTCAAATTTTGTGCCTTTTAACTTAATTTTGTTCATCGTTTGATGCAGGCATTGAGGAAATACTTTGTTGTTGAAGCTTTGAATATTAACAGACCATCATCTGCAGATGGGGTCTGAAGGTCCTTCAGCAGCAGTAACAACAGTTCATGTAACAGGTTTCAAAAAATTCCATGGAGTTTCAGAGAATCCTACAGAGACAATTGCCAATAATTTGACGGAGTATTTGAACAAGAAGGGTTTGCCAAAAGGCTTAGTTATTGGAGGCTGCAACATTCTTGAGACTGCTGGTCAAGGAGCACTTGTTCCTCTCTACCAGACATTGCAGTCTGCCATTACTTCCAAGGACACTGAATCTTCAAGTTCCAACAAAGTTATATGGGTGAGTTCCTCATATACGTGATGTGTAGGTTCATAGTTTATGCTCTCTTGTCAATCCTTATGAAGTTCTCGTTTATGTTATCAGATCAAGATTCATACCTCTCCATGAACTTCCAGGTGAATTACTTACAAATTAAAAACAAAATAAAAAATGAGACAAGATCATTAGCATGGTAAATAGCTATGATCCTGTTTGGACAATTTTTTCCATACACACTTGTAGAAGTCTACTAAGCTAAAATTAACTTATGTACTTAACTTATATAGATGTTGTCTCATTTGACTTCTCCAAAAGTTCAAGTGTACAAGTTGATATTAGTTTATAAGAGAAGCTCAATTCATTTTACTTACTTATGTTCTTCTCTTAGAAGAGTTTAAGAAGAAATTTATCTGAATAAAGCTTAAATTCAAGACTATTCAGTCTTATTCCTTGTACTCCAACCTACACTAGTTCAATTTGCAGTAACTACGGACAAAGCTAATATTTTCTATTAACTTAGAACAAGCAATGTTGCACGTAGACAGTGGCACAGATAATCTTCCTCTATTACTCTCTCAAGGTCTTCTTGTTAAAAGCTATTATGCAATCATTGGTGTCTTAGTATTCAAACCAACTGGATCTATATTCAAATATGATCATAAATTTAGGATTTGACTATTGGGATTTGGCTCCATTAAAGTGAGCGAAGATAAAATAAATAATCTTAGTCTAGGTAATGAGAAAATCAACAATTGATATTTTAACACATTTGTGATTTGTTTTATATATAAACATAATAACAGCAGTTGATTTTTTTATGAACTACTAACTTATTTTATCTTCTAAACTGAACAACGTACTTAAAAGAATCTGAATCGATACAATTAAGCGTTAACAGTGATTAAAAATCACTGGACTATGAAGTATGAACTGAAATTTCTTGGAAAAGTTTAGTACAGAGCTAAAACGAAACTTTGATTGGACTTCTTTCTTAGTACCTTAACACTAATACTAAGCTGAACTAGAAAGGATAATAGTGAAAGGTGGATGGTCTTTAGATCATCGCTGAGGCATTTTTACCCTCAGAAAGAATGGTGAGAGTACCCAATATGCAAAGACTTTTTCTTGGTTGGATTCAGCTATCTATTTTTTCATTTTACATCCATAAATCTAACATTTTGGATGTTTCTAATTTTGTTCATTTAGCTGCATTTTGGAGTTAACAGTGGTGCAACAAGGTTTGCTATAGAGCATCAAGCTGTCAATGAGGCTACATTCCGCTGCCCTGATGAAATGGGATGGAAGCCCCAGGTTAGATTGGATTAATAGATGCATTCTAAACTTGCTTTCATCAAACCTGATCTTGAAGAACTCTACCCTCCTTTAGTGAAATTTCCATATTTTTTATGTTGCAGAAAGTGCCTATTGTTCCTTCAGATGGTGCAATTACAAGAATACGGGAGGTAAATTGGATCACCAATTTTTCTCACACTTTAATTCCTAAACTAATTTTACTATTTGGCTGGTGTTAGGCTGTTAATCCTAATATAGTAATGTTGAGGTTGGTTTGTAGATTGCAAATATTTTAAGGTCCTGTTATTTGCTTAATTGATTTGTTGGCCCCGGTCAATATCACTTAGCAGGCCTTTCAATTGTGTTTTGGGGGCCATAGCATCTAGATTCTTTATGTTCTTCGTTTGTCAAAAGTTAGATATAAGGACTCATAGAGATATATTTTTGTTTTATCAGTCTGTACCTCTTGATGGAGGCATGTAGTATAGGTGCTAAGTACAAAGTTATTGGTTTGCATACTGACAACATGATGCAAATGAATGCATGCTTGCTGTATCAAAATTTTGGTATAATGATTCTCTGCTGTTTTCGTCTATCTTATGATTTTGTCTTATGTCCAAATTTTATGCAGACCACCCTTCCGGTAGCGGAGATCACCAAGGCCTTGGCAATGAAAGGTTATAACGTAACGACATCTGACGATGCAGGCAGGTTTGTGTGCAACTACGTCTACTATCATTCCCTTCGCTTTGCAGAGCAGAATGGGACCAAATCCCTTTTTGTGCACGTGCCACTTTTCTCAACAATTGATGAAGAAACCCAAATGCAATTTGCTGCTTCATTGTTAGAGATACTTGGTTCAACATGCTAGTGACACCCGGCTCATGTAAAATGTACGGGTGTTGCCATGCTTACGAAACTGGATGAGTGTACTTTGAATGATGTTATAAATTATGATAACAAGATATTGTTTTGAAATGGAAAACGGTTTATTGCAAATGGCATGTGTAGCAGAGGTGTTTGCTTTGATTGGTAAATGCTTCTGATTAAAGGCTTCAGCAAATTGTCAAGACATTTCAGTGCTACCTTGTGAATAAACGTTCCTTTTACTTGTCCTTACCGCTGTGTTTTTTTTCTTAGCAACTTTCTAATGAATGAAATGTATCCGAGTAAAACTGAAAACTAACAATTCGGTGTTTGTTCAGTTAGATGCTCAAACTAAACTGATGAAACTATTCATAGTTCTTTTAATTGAATTTTATCATTCAGATCACTATTTCCTCGTCATTTATATGAGTTGGTCATTAGTTTATACATGTTAAGTGACTTAGCTGCTCAAACGAATGTCTTTGTCTTCCTGAAACATTCACTTCAAAGACAATACTGCACACTTTTGAAAGTTGAGAATATTTACAAGAATATTCAATTTTTTTTGTTTGAAAAAAAGAATCCTGCCGGATAATGCCAAAACTATCTCTTGTTTCTTGTTAAAAGTGCAATCTTTTTTTTTTTTTTTTTTCGTCAAAATATCCATTGCTCGGCCATTTTTGACTAACACCATAAAAACATAATTGAGGCAGAGTCAGTGGATTTCCATGTAGAAGGCATAAAACCGATGGAATTGTGAGTGTGGAATTGTGAGTAGCAAAATGGGTTGACCAAAATCTGGCCTTGTGCAAGAAACAAATCCACTTTAGATAGAATGAGGTTTATGCATTGAACATAATCACTTGAAGAGAAACGCATTGAAAGGCTCTCATATCAGAAGTTCCACTTATGTTTGTGTATGAAACATGGAAAACTGAAACCACCCCAAAAGGGATAAAAATTTGCATTGTGGTGCGGCATGGTGTCTATCTATCCCCAGTCAAGAAAGGGAAGGTGGGGATATCCACCCTGAGGAGGGGGTTGGAGCGACGGAGGCAGATTCAACACATTCCCTGCAATGCCATTTTTATTATTTTCATTCTCGTGTCATACAAATTGTTAAAGATTAATTAATTACCCGGAGAGGGAGTGGTTTCGATTGGGGACTTGGTGGGATGAAGATACTTGCAAGACTCGCCGTGACGGCAAAATCCCTAAAAAAAACATAGATTAGGGTTAGAGAGAATGAATGAATGATTGAGAATTGAGAAATGAAAAGAGCGTACCGTGTTGAGCAAGTGAAAGCAGAGGGGTGGATTAGGATTAGGGATTTGTTTGAAGGAATCGTACCAACGAGCTTTGGCTTGCTGATGGAGAATGCCCTTAACGTGTCGTTTCCGATCAGCTGGTGTGTCTTGGAATTGCTTGTCGCAGTAATCGCAGTAAAACTTCCTCGCCGGCATCTTCAAATTTCTGGGACAACTTCACCATACATCTAGCCTCCCGCATGCCCAATCTTATAATTAAAAAAATATTTATATATTAATTTAATAAATAATAGACCTAACTTTCATATTAATTTTCTAAAAAAATTATTTTTAAATTATGTATAAAATAAAGCTTATGAATTCTTTTCTATTTTTTTTATAAAGTACTTCAAAAAAAAAAATTATCCAAACAAGATCTAACTCAAATGGAACCAAAATGACCAAGTTTAATCTGCATTTGAATTTTGGAATGAGGAAACAGGGTAAAAAAAAAGTTTAAAATTTAAATTAGAAAAAAAAGTGAAAAGAAAAAATAAATTTTTATTTCTTGAAATAACTCTTTTCTTTACTTTTTTTTTAAACTAGACAAGAAAATATATTTTTTACTTGTATTTTCTTTTCTTTATTTTTTTTTTTTAGGTTCGTCCATGAAGTATCCACCGCCGATAGTAGTAACTAATATCCTCGTTAAGTTGGAAGCACTTCAAAGGGTGGGATAGCTGGCCCCAAGATTTAACACGGCTTGCATACATAAAGCAAGATTCGAACCCCTGACCTTGTTAATTATTACACCGGGGTAACTCTTACTAATTATTACACCGCTCAATAACTCTATGTTAAATGTGAATTTTGTAAATCTAACCGTTAGATTGAAAGTTCATATCTCTTAGATCATATATACAAAATTTTATATTAATTCAAGATGATTTGATACTTTATTTTTATATAAAAAAATTGACATAATATATTCATTTCAAAATACACTAAAATATGAACAATTTGATTGCCTTCAAGTTGTTCAATTTTAACAAAATTTGATATGCACGTATAAAGTGATATGAAGTTTCAATCTAACGGTTAGATTTATAAAATTCACAATTAATATAAAATTATTAAGTTGTGCAATACTTAGTAAAAGTTATACCGGTGTAATTATATCCTCTCTCTCTATATATATATATATATATATATGTTTATTAAACTCTATTTATATTATACATATAATCAGATATTTAGATGTACAAGATAGTCGTGATGAAATGGTCATAGGTCACCCTCATGCTATGAATCCAACGACTAACCATCAAATTGACCTTAGACCCCTTGATCAAAGTAGCTAAGGAATTGTGCTAGTAACCTTGAATATTGGGATTCAAAGTAGTTAGTTAAGGAATACCTCTCAATATGAAAGTGCCTCATGGAAATTAATATAGTCTCCATTGACGTAGATATTCTTACGGTAAAGAAAGATGGAGAAAAACTAGCACCAAACCAATTTGACCTACTTACTCGAACGCACTTGTATATATTTATATTATCTTTGTACCGTAAACAAAAGTCATGCTTGCCTATCCAAGTTTGAGTGTTCAAACAAATCCACTCAAACACCTCAGCCTCGAATTGATAAAATAAAATAAAAGGGCGAATCAGCTTAACTGTTTGATTAAATTAACAACCATCTCTTTCACTTAGGGTGTTTAATATTCGTTAATCCAGCAATATATTCATATTCAAGACAAGCAGGGAGACTTTATGCCATGTCGTTTGGCCAGAGATTACCTAACGAGTGGAAAATGAACACATGCAGAGACAATGCCATTACAACTTCCAACCACCACGCTACGCATAATAACTAAATTAAACCACCCATCGTTGTCTCAACAAATACAAATACTGATGCAACATTTAGATAATTGCAGACATTTGTCTTCTATTGTATGTTACAATCTGCTGTGATACAGGAAACAGGGTATTCTTCATACCCATCGGGGGTTTGGGTAATAATGAGTAGCATGTATCTCTAAATCTGCTTTTACAGGGCAACCGAATACAATAAAGATACCAACAAATATCATATCAAATAGAAGGAAAGAGCAGCATTCTCATACGGTAACAACACTTGCGGTTCTGTTACACTTCACAAGCCAAGAAACGGGCATTGCTTCCTCGCATGCTCTGGAACCAATTTCACCAAAATCTCAGCTGGGACTCCTTTCAGTTCTGGTACACAGGCACCAATAACATAGTAAAAAGTCAGCCAGAACCATTTAATGAAAACAAAAGAAGAGCAGTCACATGAACACAAATAGCCTTTACCAAAATCAACATACCATGAGATTTGAAATTAAATAGTGGTGGAAGGAATCGGCCATTTGGCAAGCGAGTATTTGGATCACGAAGCTCGTCAAAGAAAGGATGGGTCAGGGCATCTAACTGCACCACATAAAGCAAAATCACAAATAACACATTTGGGGATGAGAAACAGCCGTTAAATAATTAGATTAGAAAACATAAAACTGAATACAAACTTGCAAAACCATTATCTGACACAAAGGGAAGCACTATTATTATCTTTTTCCTAAGGTGGATACTAAAGCTTCGATAAGAAGTCATATACTCACAGCTGTGCACCGCAAGTTAGGTGAGTATTGTAGTAGTCTTGATACCAAATCAACAGCCTCTGGAGGCATGCGCTTATGGAAGATCTAGTAGAAGAGAATCAACGATTATATGTTAGTATAGTGTGTACAATAAGGAATTTTAAATACGTTCATATGATGAGCTCAAGAATAAAGCATGAAATGCTATTGAATTTATTTTTGATACCTTGTGCCATGGATGAGCTTTAATCTGTGGGAATTTAAATTCTGTATAATTAGGGTTCATGCATTTAATCTCTTCCCTTGTTGGAGTGCCCAGAACCTATCAAGACAATAAATGGATCATTTACTAGTTATAATACTGGCACTGCATAAAAAAGTAAGGCCAACTATATAATTGATCCAAGTTATCAATTCAATCATAAAAGGCTAAAGCAAAATATGAGACCAACAGTTTAACATCTATCACACACTGCTGTTACAAGTCAGTGAATTGAAATCCAAGTACAACAAGCTCACTCAACGAGTTGCAATGCACTTGCAAACAAGAAAAATATAACATTAATGAAATAAGTTAAAAATCACAAAGATTACCTTGATGATCTCAACAAGCTGATCAACTCCACTCTCACCAGGGAACAAAGGCTGTAAAAAGCAAATGCAAATCTTAGTTAAACATGCTAAACCACAAGAATTAATGAGATCACATCATCAGCCACCAACCTGTCCAAGCAGCAGCTCAGCTAAAACACATCCAACAGACCAGATGTCAATGGCTGTAGTATATTCAGTTGCTCCAAATATGAGCTCAGGTGCTCTATAATATCTAGAACATATGTACGATATATTTGGTTCGCCTTTTACCTGCCAAAAGACAGACCAGATAAGGAAAAACAAAACTACTAACAAACCTAGGAAAACAAAAGATTGAATGAAAATGAAGGGACAGAAATAGAGATATATAACATACCAAAACCTTTGCACTTCCAAAGTCGCATAATTTAACCTGGTGAGTGTGTGGATTGACCTGCACAGAAAAACATTTAGTTAGTAATTTCCAAACAACAGTCTTGTCACCAGAGTTTAATCAATCCTTTCCTATCTTTTAGCTACCCTAAACACAACCATAACTATGAAGCAACAGAACTGGAATAAAAACAGAATAAATTATGAATGATTTACGCAAAATAAAACAAAGGCCATACCAATAGATTTTGAGGCTTGATATCGCGATGGCAGACTCCAATACAACGGTGAATATAAGATAATGCCCTAAAGATCTGCAATATATCAAAAGAAAATTGTTAAGACCTGAGCAATTATGAAAGCTGAATACAGGAAGGGAACAGGCATACCTGGTATGTATATAGTTTCACATATATCAGCGGCATCCTTTGGTTCAATTTGTTGTAATGTTTGATCACACGATTAACTGTTTCAGGAACATACTCAAGTACCAAATTCAGGTATAGTTCATCCTTTTCAGTGGTTGAAAAGAAACAGTGCTTCAAAGAGACAACATTCGGGTGGTCAAGAAGGCGCATTGTTTGAAGCTCCCGGTTCTTGTACCTCTTGTCTTGAAGAACCTTTTTGATAGCCACAGTTTCACCAGTTTCCAAGCACTTAGCCTACAATCATACACAATGTCAGAACTAAGGCAACAATTATAATTTATGAGTCACTTGTGTTGAGAAGGCTAAATATACACATCTCATTTAGTCAATTGGCTACATTTTTTTTACCTGGAAGACAACTCCAAATGATCCATGCCCTACTACCCGCTCTGCCATGTAGCTTATAGTCTGACATATTAATAAAGATATAGAATTATTTTAAAGTAATAAACACATAGAAGAAAAAAAGCAAAAGGAATAAAAATAGACAGTTAAAGAGAATACGTAAGATGAAAGAACCACATCACGGCATTTTTACACTATCCAATAATATCTAAGAGATTCATCCGTTAGTAACCAATCAGTGACAATAATCGCAAATCACTCACAAGACATGTCAAAGACACGTTGAACAGAGCAAGAAGTTATGCTAGAAACCGTAAAAAGATTCTTGTTGGAAAGCAGCGACCTAGTTAATCAATTTTGGGGATTTTTTTCTCCTTTTTCTGACTTAAAGATAAATACAACAACTTCGTGCTAAATTTTAATATTTGGCAGAAATTCCCAATTCTCAATCCAAATATCAAGTCAAAATCACAGCAGTTATAGAAGTGAGGAGAACATTTGCACACAAATAATGATATGAAGCTGGAGCATTGATTGCTATTGGCCTTCCGAGTACCATGAGTACCATGAGGTAGGCATGATCCAGTGCAAGAGTTAAATTATTTCAAACTGTCAAACCACATACATGATTGATAGCAGAAAACAAGGGGAGAAAGGTATACCTGCTTTGGCTGACCATTTCTACCTCCAATGGTAGTCACAATGATATGTCCCGTCTCCGTTCCATTGCCATCAACAACCGTGGCTTCCATGTCCTACAAAATGAAGCACACTGTAAGTAACTGGGCCAGAAATTCAAAATCAACCACAAAGACACACACACCAAAAAAAAAAAAAAAAAAACTAACATTAAAAAAATGTAAATTTAAGAAAGCAGGGATTACATACTCTATCATCCCTAATTTTCATATCGTTCATCTCCTCTGGCAATCTATCAACACCTGCTGCTCCATGCCCACTGGCTTCTCTCAAACCTGAACCCGAAGTTGGTGCCACACCAACCGATGTCATCTTCACTGAATCCCTTTCTCTTCCAATTGCTGCTCAAAAACCACTCATTTACCTGCCAGAATGAACAATTCCACCACAATTAAAAAAAGTATTTCCTTTTTCATTTCGAGCATTAATCAGAAGCAAAAACGGAGTCAACAGAGATCATGAAAAACGAACCAAAAAGGAAAGTTGCATCACCGTTCAAACATGAATTAAAAAAAATTAAAAATGCAAATCTATTTTGTCCATAAATAAATACCAATTGTGCAAAAAAGAGAAAACATTCAAGGAATCTCAAAAATCCATTAATCTCACGTAAAACAGCAAATCCAACTGAAAACTCATCAATAACGGAAATAGAAAATAAATTAAAAAAAAAAGTTAAAAAAAAAAACGGAAAACAAAAAAAAAATCTCTAACCAAACCTAAACCGAAGATCCCCGTAACAGAAGGCGAAAGAAGTCGATCCAAACACAGAAAACAAAATTAAGAAGCGCAGGGCGTTTGACACGTACGGAAAAGACGCAAAGAAAGAGCTATGACAGCGGAGAGAGAAAAGCGAGAAGAAAAACGAAAACTGTAAGAGAAAGAAAAGAGGGAAAGGAAATCTAGTGAGAAGGAAGAAACGGCGTGAAGGAAGAAAGGGTTAGATTAGATCCATAGCATACCCATGGCGTGTTTGGATTTGTGTGAGTAACAGTTGTTCTCTGCTTTTTTGTGTGCGCTGGTGACAGTCAAAGAAGAAACCCCATTCTAATTTATTTTTAAAATAATTATATATTTTGGGGTAAATCGGAAATAAATAAAATAATAGAAAAATGTAGCGAGTGTAACCTCGTTTTCTCTTAGCTTTTGACCGTTCAAACTTCAAACTTCAAACTCACTGTATTAAAATGGTAACAACTATTAATTGGGCACACCCGCATGTGCCTTTTTGGCGCCTTCTTTTATGGGTTTTTTTTATTTTTATTTTTTTTCTTATTTTTTATCACATGCCAAAAATTACAACGGCCAGGCCAGCAAATGAATAGACCGATTAATAATTTACATTATTTCTTTGATCTCCAGTTTAACTTTAACATGTTACAGCTAAAGAAAAACAGTGTGCTCAATAATTTAACATAGCTATAACTGTGAACATAAAAAATTGACAGTAATATATTTCTTAATATTTTTTTTTTGTCTTTATTTAACGAGATTTATATCTAGTTTTTTAGTCTTAGTAAATTTTAATTAATAATAATATATTGAAAAATACGTTATTCATATTCTTCTTTGGCATGTATTTTGAAAGCTGGCAGTTATGTATTTTACCTGCATAACCAACCAAAGAAACGATTCTATTTTTATTTTTAAATTTTAATTTGTGTCACATAGAGGATAATTATTTATTTTATTAAATTAAATTTATAAAAATAAATATTTATTATAAAGTATATTATAATTTAAATTTATAATAAATAAATAGTTTTGAATATATGGAATATATTTTAAATTTATAAGAAATAATTTATATTATGATATAAAAATATTTTTAATATCGATAATCTTTATTAAAAATATTCAAATAATACGAAAATATATATTTAAATGTATAAAATATTAAAATAATTAAAATAACATAAAAATTGATAAAAAAAATAAGAGATTAAAAATATTAATAATATATATAAATAATACAGATAAATAATATTTAAATTTTAAAATCAAAATATATAATTCATTTTAATATTTAACTATTTTAGTTGGATAGTTTGTTTAATATATGTATATATATATATATATACATATATATAAAATAAAAATTATATATATATATAAAGTTCATATTCTCGTAAAAAAAATATTCAAATAAAAATGAATAAAAAGAAGAGCATAAATAGAGAACGATTACAAAATAAAAATATTTTTTTTAATATATATATAATGAAATGAAGAATAATTGAATCATAATATATTAAAAATTATGCTTAATAATTTTTAATTATATTCTAATAAAAATATAATTTTGATATGTATGATCAATCCACCATATTATGCAAGAACATTTTTAGACATTTATTTTTAAGAAGAGAAATTTTAGAAATTCTTTTAATTTTTATAAATTTTAAATTTTATTTACTATATATTTATATAAAAATTAACTTTGAATAAAAATAAATTAACACCTATATATTAGATGTGAACTTTTATTTTTTGTGGAACCATCATGTTTCGTGTTCTAAGACAAATCTTGTAACCATTAAATTAAGAAGTTTGATTAAGAAGTTTTTTAAACTCTTAACTAATTTAATATCTTTATTTATTATAACTGTTTATGAATTAAAATTTAATATTTTTAAAATACATTATCAATAATTAAAAATAATTTAATGTCATAGTATAAATTATTTATCTTAAGTAAAAATATAATTTATAAATTTAAAAATACATATTTTTATAAGTTTTAAATATAATTTATTATAAAACTTTATTATATACAATAAATATTTGACTAAACTAAAATATTAGTTATATCATAATTATTTAAGAATTAAATAAAAATATTATGCTATAATATAAAATATTTATTATAAATTTAAAATATAATTTATATATTTATAAATATTTATTTATATATAATTTATATAAATCTTTATTTTATATATTAAATATTTAGTTCATAAAATATATGACTTGAAATACTAATAATTTATTAGTAAATATTAGTAATAAATAGTCACTCGTCATTCATTTTACATATTTTTATATATAACAATATCAACAAAAATTAATTCAAAACATTATATGGTATGCTACTCAAATTCTCCGCGAATAACATCAATTTTAGGAGATTGCAAAATGTCATTCATATAATCCGAGAGACAAAAATTGAATGGGATTAAAAAATTGAAGCCAACTTTCAAAGTATGTTAATGTTAAAAGAGTTACACTTAATTTAGTTTTTTTTTTAACTTCATATTTTAAAATAAATTATTTATAATATAAATTATTTATCATAATTTTAAAATATAATGTACATGTTTAAATTTATTTATGTATACTAATTTTAAATATAATTTATATATTCAAACTTAGTATTTATTTATATATAGTTTATTATATATTTTAATTATATCTTCACTTTTTGGGACCATTATACCCTTTTATTTTAAAAAAATTATAAAAAATATTTTTAATCAAATTTAAAATCTTGAAACTAATGAATTTGTACTAATATATAAAGGGATTTCACTTTCAATAATTACTTTTAATTTTCATTTTTATATGGACCATTTTATCCTTTATTTGTTTTTTAATAACTACTTTTTTATGAGTAACTTCTTATTTTATTAATATTTTTTTCAATACAATATAGGCACGAAGTGTCTTTTTCCTGCTAGTTTTGTATAATGAACATACATGTACGTTACACATGTTAAAATATTAATTTATCATAAATTTAAAATATAAAATTTATATGTTTAAAAACATTTATTTATATAAACTCTAAATATAGTATTTATATATATAATTTATTATAAATTTTAATTATATACTAGCTTATCTTTCTTGATATGTGCATATGCCAAAGACCCAAACACTCTCAGATTAGATTAGTCAGCTGGTCTTCCACTCCAAACTTCCATCGGTGTCTTGTACCCTAGAGCAGACGAAGGATGCCTTTTAATCAGATACACAACAATATTTGCAGCTTCTCCCCAGAAAGCCTTAGACATCCCTGCTCCCAAAAGCATGCACCTGACTCTCTCCAATATGGTCCTGTTTAACCTTTCAACAAGTCCATTTTGTTGAGGAGTCCCTACCACAGTCTTATGCCTCTTAATTCCTTGGTTCCTGCAAAAATTGTTAAATTCATCTGAAACAAATTCCAACCCATTGTCTGTTCTCAATACCTTTAGCTTGATCTCCTGCTAATTTTCTATTTGAGTATACCATTCTTTGAACTTCTGAAACGTTTCAGCCTTCTTCCTCAGAATGTAAATCCATACTCTCCTCAAAAAATCATCGATAATGCTTAGAAAATAAGATCCACCTCCATGCGTCTGAGCCCTCGACGGACCCCATAAATCTGCATGTGCATATTCAAATGGTCTACTAAAGGTGTGTTTAACTGTCCCAAATTGCACTCTGTGAGACTTACCCAAAACACATAGATCACAAAAATCTAGCTTCTGAAGCTTATCACCTATCAACAATTGTTGCTTCTCCAACTCTACCAAGCCTTTCTCGCTAACATGGCCTAAACGCAAGTGCCACAATTTAGCCTTGTCTAATATCGTCTGAATTGCTACAGACGCATGTGCAATGATAGTAGACCCCTCCAAAATGTACAACTCATTACTTTTACTTCCCTTAGCAACTATAGACGCTCCTGTGGACATCTTCAATATTCCACCCTCCACCTTGGTGGAACAACCCATAACATCAAACATGCTAATGGACATAAGTTTCCTTTTTAGCTTTGGAACATACCTCACATTCTGCAGCAACATCTCCTGATTATCAAACATCTTTAGTCTGACTGCCCCAATGCCCTGGACCCTACAAGCTTTATTGTTCCCAAGAAGTACAGTCCCATACTCCTTTAGTTCTAAGGTCTCAAAATAATCTTTCACAGGGAACATGTGATATGTACACCCTGAATCCATGACCTAACTCTTCAATTAGTCATCAGACGAAGCCACCAAAACCCCCGCAGATTCATACTCCTCCAAAGCCTCTACAACATACGTAGTTTCCTGTATCCGAGACTCCTTGGCACCTTTCTCAGGACAATGCTTCATGATATGACCAACCTTCTGACACTTATAACATTGGATCTGCTTCTTCCCTACAGACTTTGCCTTCTTCTTTTTACCCTCTGTCTTCTTTCCCTTACCTTTCACTACTGCCAGACTAGACGATACCTCTGCACCCTTCGAATCTTGAAGTTTTTGTAACTCCTTGGTTCGAATAGAGGTCACAACCTCCTCTAGAGTAATCACCTTATCTTTCCCATATAGCAACGTATCCTTAAAATGCTCAAAGGTATTTGGTAAAGAATTTAGGAGAATAACAACCTTATCCTTATCTTCAAGCTTCACACCAATATTTTCGAGGTCATCAATATTGATCTTATTGAAATCTTCCAACTGTTCTTCAATTGTTCTTGATTCCACCATCTTGAAGGAGTAAAGTTGTTGCTTCAAACAAAGTCTATGAGCCAAAGACTTTGTCATGCAGCGATTCTCTCCTTTGCAACTTCTCTTAGTGCCTTATCACCAAGACACAATACAATTGCACTCCTTGCCCTATCAATCATACTCTTCTTCTCCATCGGCGTCAAAGATGATGAAATGTTTGTCTCCTCCTTCAATGCTTCCTCGCACCCTTGCTGAATCAATATTGCCTCCATCTTGATCTTCTACAACCCAAAGTCGTTGGCTCTGGTGAACTTCTCAATATCGAACTTCGTTGCCATTCTTGATTATCTTTCTTTTCCAATCCACACAGATGGCGCCACTTGTTGGTAAAATATAAATCGGGAACTTAGGAATCAAGTTAATCAAAGAATATTGAAATGCAAGAACACACGAGAGAGTAAAAAAAAAAACTGTACCGCATTAGGTACTTAGCCTCTTATTTAAAATTGTTACAAGGGTCTGTATATATTGTTTTCATATGAGTAATGACTAACAAACTCACAAATGAATCCCACGTGTTAATCATGCATCCCACGTGTCAAACATGCACTATACATCTCAAGATGAAGTCATCATTTGAGTCCTTGTACTTTATCTAATATCTCTACCCATCATTTGCACCCTCCAGGCAATACTCTAGATGATATTCCAGATCCACAATTAACAGATTTGTATAAAATTATCCTCATTATTTTAGTGGTTGGTAATTTCAATCTCAATAATAAATTGTACAATATTGAACATTAAGATCCCCACATTATTAGCTTGTCTCTTGTATGCAATGATGACATTGCTCGAAATTGTCTAATGAAGCCAACGATTGTTAGTACTAAAGAATAAGTTTGACACGAGAAAATCAATCTCCATCCATTACAAATTCAGTTAAGAGTCAATCTAACAATACCATTTACTCGTTTGATTAATTGTGTATAAGTTTGACGGGAGAAAATCAATCTCCATCCATAAAAGATTTAGTTAAGAGTCAATCTAACAATACCATTTACCAATCTGATTAAGGGCATGTGTTTGTTAAATTTAGCTTATAAGCTAACTAAAAGTTTATAAGTTGTAAGCTATGAATTGAAAAGTTGAAAACTTATAAACTAACTGATTAAATTGAAAATGTTTGGTAAAATTATCTGATAAAAGTAGTTAATCAATGTAAAATGACATATATTATTTAATAATGAGAGTGAGAGAACAATATATAAGCAAAATAGTTTCTAAATTTAAAAAGAATAAAAAAACTCTCAGATTAGATTAGTCAGCTGGTCTTCCACTCCAAACTTCCATCGGTGTCTTGTACCCTAGAGCAGACGAAGGATGCCTTTTAATCAGATACACAACAATATTTGCAGCTTCTCCCCAGAAAGCCTTAGAATACATTGCATGTACTAAGATACTGATTTTAATTAAAGACTAAATAAAATCTCAAATAAATATAAAATAAAAAAAACCTAATTTTGAATTAAAGACTAATTAAAATTTTAAACAAATCTATAAATACAATTTTAATAAAGAAATATATTATTCAATTAAATATGAGTTAATTTCCTAATTTAAATTAAGAAAGCAAGTCAAATAACATTGAGGTCTTGATTGCATCTATTCTAAAAATAAAATATTTATATATGGAGAAAAAAAAAGAGAAAGATTGTTTCATGTAAAAACACTCCTTATAATAAAAAAGAAATAATTAATAATAACCCATAGATTAACATAAACAACTTAAATTATATGTTGTGATGATTTGTGATTTGTTATTGGGTTCTAAGCATTTAAGAAATTTCTCTAGACAAAGGTCCAATTTAACTTTGAGGGTAAGGTTTATAAGGTCTTTATTTAGAGGTGGACTTCATAAGTCCATTCAATCAAAAATTCTAAAGAGAAGGCCTTTGGGTCGAAAAACCTTTTTCTTCCCCTTTTTCTACTAAAACCCTTCTTTCATCCTTCCTTACAACTAATTTGAGGTGAACAGGTTGTGGATTGAAGCTTTTGAGTAAAAATCAATTTTGTGATTGGTGGTGATGTGAAGTTCTGAGAGTTTAGCCCATTTTCCTCTTCATCTTTGACTTTGGGAATTCTAGAGGTAAAAAAAATTAGAACTTCATTCTTATTGATTTATGTTGTTGTATGAGTTTGAGTTCATTGAATCTTATGGTTGTGTTGTGGTTGATTAAGGATTTGGTGACAGTTTAACAAAGTTGGGCATGAGTGTTGAGGCTCTATGCCTGAAATAAGGTTGAGTATCATATTTGACCACGCCAGACGTGAGAGCAACAAATTCTCTATCTCAACCACATCAGGAGTAGGTTGAGCGACGCCTAGCGCTAGACATGGGTTGCCTTGTGAAAAGGTGTTGCTTTATTGATGAATTGGTGAATGTGTGTAAGTTAATTGAATCTACTACATGTTATATGTTGACATATGTTGCTTGTCCTTTATACATTGATCTAGAATAATGTATATCGATGATTAAATGTTGATAGTTGAATATTTTTGAATGATGTTGGTTCTATATATATTAATTTGGGATAATATATATAAATGATTGGTTGTTGAACTATTGAGGTGATGAGGCTGAGAATGCTTGAGGCATTAAGGCATCAAGGTGTGTTGTGTTGATTGACTTAGGATTAGAGGAGAAAGTATTTTTATAAAGTTGCATATTTCATTGTGATGATATTAGTGTGGTGCTCTACGATCCCAGTTAATAAAAACACTTTTTAAGTAGTTGACTTTTGAAGTGGATGGTTGAGTCTCTATTGAGATCGTAGTTGATGTAGTGTGTGGATAAGGTCAAGACATATCGAGTACAAGTGACCATAATATAGGGGTCAAGTCAAATTATATTAATTATAAGTGACCAATATTGATCTATATGTGAACAAGGTTGAGATATACATGTATAAAGTGACAAACCAAGTAAGGTACAAGGTCGGAGACCAAAATTCCTAACTAAATACTGAAAGGGTATTTGGAGTGTAGTCGGTGAACTAATCACACAAGTGACTAATTTATGCAAGCTACATCGTGGTAGACTTAGACTCAAATTGTTTTATTTTGACAAGAATACTAGATTTTCTCGTTTGAGTGGAAAAATTCGAAAAATCATGTTATATATTTTTATCCAAATTGGTTGTTGATTTAGATGAACTGAAAAGATCACGTTGTTGGTTTGAAAGGATCAAGCCACTTAAATTATTCACCTTTATTGAAAGAGATCTCCATATATGAATACATAACGACACATGTAATTAAGGTGTTATGCATATAACGTATTGTTGCCAAGTTATTCATATGTTATGTGGATTTGTATGTTAAATGATATGGTCGTGGTATAAGTTTAAATGATTAAGTTATTTTTTTTTTTTAAAGTTGTTTGATGTCATGTTGAGATGTTATTGATATGTTGCTATGTTGTAAGCCATGAGGTGTTATTCATCTATATACTTCTACTTTAAAGTTAAAGTTTAATAAATAAATAAATAAATGATAAAGATAATCAAACCTGATCATCTCATTTTCATCTTTTCCTAACAATTACACTCATCTCTTCCATACCAGTTACATGCTCGAAATACCATATCCACAACAAAAAAAAAATTATGCTTGCTTGGGAACAGAATTACAGAGCCAGCGTATGATGAGCAAATAAGATAGCATAATGCAGTAAAAGCGGTGTGGGCAGGGGACAAAGTAAAAACAAAATTATATTGTATACTCATCCATGACCATTTAGATGATATTTAAAAATTGAATATAAAAAAATTTATCATATGGCCATCTAATTTTCTATTACTATCCTCTTCAATTTAGAAGGAAAAAAAAAAAGACTAAACTTTTAAACATCTTCAGTCATTCCAACATCTTCAGTCATTCCCTATTTTGAAACCTTTGATGGCACTGCGATGAGATCACAGTTTTCACTCTTCAAAAGTCAAAACTTAGCATTGAACATTCTCAATAATTATTACAATGTAAAGAATACCACTTGGCATACCATACAAGCTTACAAGAAAAGAAACGTTCAAATAAGATTCATGACGGTGTATAGTAGTAGGCATGAGAATCGCAATTTATGGGTAGCTTTAAGAAATTCCAAGTCATTCTAAATCAAGATATTCCCTAGTCAGCTATACCAAATACACCGGCTGCAACTAATTTAAATTCCCAAGTAACCATCTACATTTGCTTCTTCTCGTGAGAATGGTTTTGCTTCTTACTAAACATACCTGACATTAAAAAGTATTAAATAGTTACAGTGATTTCAATTACAACATGCACTGATATTATCTTGCAATAGCAGGATAAGAAATTATAAAAGAAATAAGGCCGCATTTCCAAGCTGGTTCAGTCCAGTTTTAGAAAACACTGGCATTGTAAAGACTTCCAAAAAGGCTGCTAATTGCTAAAAATAAAATTGCAACGTATGTTGCTTCAGTAACAAATTAATTGAAGATTTGAGTATTTATTATAACTATATCAAAAGGCTGTGGAAGTATTGTGTACAAAGAATCTATAATTCTACATTTACTTGCATGTTAAGAATTGAGAATAGTAGCTAAATCAGAGGCTAAGCATGGTTGTCAAACTCGCAAGTTAACTTGTAAACTCGTACGAGTCTATGAGTCTAGGTTAGCAAAACTGGTTAACTCGCAAATAGAATCTTTTTTTGGTGGACTCGGGTAGACTCGCTCAGAATCGTGAGTCTGAGGGCGAGTCAGCGAGTCAATTTTTTGCCCCCTAAATGCCCCAAAACGACGTCGTTTCAGCTAGGGTTCCTAAGTACCTCTCTTTTCTTTGATCTTTCTCCCTCTGCGCATACGAAAAGAACACTGCCTCCTCTTTGTTCTTCGACCTCTCTCCCTCCGCGCATACCTCTTTGTTCTTCAATCTCTCTCCCTCCGCCGCATACGAAAAGAACACTTTGCCTCCTCTATGTTCTTCGATCTCTCTCCATCCGCCGACTTCGTTCAATCCGCCCGACGCCGTCATTGCAGCTTCCGGCATCGTCCCTACACTTTGACGAGCTATTGGTGTTACTTATTACTCCTAACATTTTGATTTTTTGGTCTGTTAGACTATTAGTGTTACTTACTCTTACTCCTAACATTTTGATTTTTTGGTCTGTTAGACTATTAGTGTTACTTACTCTTACTCCTAACATTTTGATTTTTTGGTCTGTTAGAGCTGTTAATGTTACTTTTTACTCCTAACATGTATGGTTAAGACTTGTATTATGACATTTTATTGTTGTTATTTGACTTATTTCAAACTTAGAATGTTGAATTAGTGAAATCATATTGTGTGTGTTCATGTTTTTTAATATCTTTTAATATTAGATAGACTCTTACGAGTCTACGAGTTGAGTCTACGAGAGCTCCACGAGTTTGTGTAGACTCTCGAGTTTGACAACCTTGAGGCTAAGATATAAAGGGCTCTCATAATGGTATATTGCAGCGCTACAAATGATTTGCATATTGAATGCTAAGAATATAAATATATAAGCCCCCCAAGAATTGTATGTTTTTGTGCCTATTTTGGCTTGGATCTCTAATTTACAACTGCAGCGAAGGAAATAATTGGTGCAGAAGTATCAACTTTGTAAGTTTTTGACCAAAGGTTATTATCAGATAAATGTAGAAGTTGGTAAGATGATATATATAGATCTGACTTCCAAAATTTACATATAGCCTATATATTATGGTCGATAGAGACAAATCTAGGAGAATACTGAAGTAAAAAGATGATGGGATTATTTTATGATATTTGTCAGAGGGGATATTTTATGAAAGTTATTTTTATAAGGTTATTATACAAACATATTCCACAATGATGAGATATTGTCCGCTTTGGGCCTAAGCCCTCACGGTTTTGCTTTTGGTCATCACCCAAAAGGTCTCTCAATCATTGAAGTATGTTTGTATTATATAAGTTGTTATTTATTGTGTTATTTTATCGATGTGAGACTTGTTTGTATCCTAACAATCCTCCTCTCAAACAAGGAACCTAACTTTTCATGCAGTGAAATCTGTCTTTATATAGCACATTATATGTTATGAGTTATGAGGGGTTATTGGTTGTCACCGAATCCAACTTGCGACTCTAATACCACTGATGGGGTTATTTTATGGTATTTGTTTGAGGAGATATTTTATGAAAGTTATTTTTATAAGGCTATTACACAAACATACTTTACAATGATGAGATATTGTCCGCTTTGGGCCTAAGCCCTCATAGTTTTGCTTTTGGTCATCACGGAAAAGGCCTCTCAATCATTGAAGTATGTTTGTATTATATAAATTGTTATTTGTTGTGTTATTTTATCAATGTGGGACTTGTTTGTATCCAAACAAAAGATATTATTTATTAAGAGTTTGCACAGGTGGAAAAATGGCAGTGTGCAGTTTACTACATGAATGTAAAATATTCTCTGCAGTGATATGTATTCCTAATTAACAAGAGTAAGTGCAATCAAAACTAGCACCTTAATATCCATATATCATTATAATCCAGCAAACTACCTGCATGTTAAGAAATGCTGAATGCAATTAATGTTACTACTTAAAAATATGGATGAGAAGGGAGGAGATGCACTACCTCTTGATGAATTGAGTAGCATATCGTATAACGAAACACATTAATACAAACACCAAAATATCTGCAAAAGCTTAGGAACTCCAACAAGCAGTACCAAACAGACATGATAGCATATGAATTCAAGAAATTTCTTAACTTGGTCAAAATTCTTTAACATGGTTTCAGTTGGCTTACTAAACAAAGGACACCAAAAACATTAACCATCAATGTTCAGCTAACTTAGAAGGCATGTGACAAACAAGTTTCCAACAATTGATGAACTATTTAAAGAAAAAACCTCACATAAATATCTAGAAATGATCAAATTTTTGCATTCAAGGAGAATCACAAAGGAAAAGACGCATAAAGGAGTTAAAATCCAAGAGAGTGCAACAAAGGATACTGAAAGTACAACGCTCCCACCAATCCAACATATAAAGCCCAAAAGTCACATTGTAAAGGTAGATCTTACGCTGAACCCAATTCATATCTTCCACAGCTGCAAAAACAATTTTCTTTTCTACTTTTGGGTCAGAATCAAGACAAAATAGCTCAAAACGCATCCTCGGCATATAAAATCTCTGAAATTGTTTTCATCAGACTATAGAAACACACAAGCATTAACTACTAGCATGCAATAACTTCAGGTGTATTCCCTATTAATATTATTTCTTACACACATAAGATTAGGGAATTAATTTCTACGTATAGCCTTGACCAGTGCACTAATAGTGGACAGAAATAAACAATTTATAACACACAAGAATTTTTCTAAAAAGTAAAGATTACCCAAAATAAAATAAAATAAAAATCATATTTAATAATCAAAAAGTCTAAAAGGAGCATTAGGGGAAAAAAATACCCAAAGGAATGAAGTCAAAAAATAAAACAGTAGATTTAAAAGGTTTCGTACAAAGCAGTGATCCAGATCTCGTTGACAAAACGAACTCATGAGATCGCTTCGACGTTTTCTACTACACTTTTCATCTTTCTGGAATGCCGCTAACGTTCTATCTCGATCGACAACTGTCAATTGGCAGACATCGGTGGTCTGTCCAAAGTATCAAGCTAAAGTAACCAGTTATCATCTTGAGCATGATTTTCGACAATGACCTGTAGGCAGCTAAGGCCCTTTCTACATCAACCACTTCCTATAGTCATCTCTCTTACCCCCAGGTATAGAGGGAACTTGTAGTGTGCAAGGGTTTGTGTACAGTTTATTTCAAACAAGTGCAAAAATTTAACAAACAAGCAATTATTAAAGCCATGCTAAAAACAAATATTTACAAACAAGGCAAAAGGGGTAAAAATTTAATTATTATTTTTTATTATGCTAAATTTATCATTAAATGGGTCTGACCCTCTTTTAGCTTTCCCAATGGAGTCGCCATCTGTCGGAACCCAAAAAATTTCGATCTTGTCCACAAATGATTTGGACTTCGTTTTGAAAATCTCATCAATTTTGGAATGCCCTAAGACCGGACTAATCCTTCACTAATGGTTTTTGAAAAATGTTCGAAGGAGTCGTCACCGATATTTTACTCAAAACACCAAAAAAAGAAAAAGTTTTCAAAAATTAATTATGGCCTTCATAGCCAGAATCAAGTTCGGGGGTCGATTACGTGTGGGAAAGGTGTTAGACATCCCATAACGCCCTAATTCGGTACTCTATGATAAGTTTAGCATAATAATGGATATAATTAAATCTTTACCCCTTTTATTTTATTATTCATACAATAATTTACATTATATTAATTTACAACATGAGTACTAATCCGCTATCTACATGATAATCAATCTGTTGCATGCACGTAGCGTTATAAGTAAAATAAATAAAGGAGAAAGCGAGAGAGAATTAAAAGAACCTCCAGAGCAAGCTTTTATAGAAAAATCTTCTTAAATGCGTATAGGGGGTGTGTTTTGGCAATCTTTCGCTCTACAAAAAGCCTCACAATCACTTAGAAATTTATAGAGAGCGAGTCAAATCTGATAGAAGTTTGCTTTGTGAGTGAGAAGTGTTGGAGAATGAGCCTTGTGCACGCTTATATAGGCACCCAGGGAAGGGAAACAATCGTTCCCAATACTGGTACCGTTGAGGACCGCAAGTTTGATTAGACACTTGATAATAAGTTTGTTTTCTAAAATAAATGGTAAAGATAATCAAACTTGATCATCTAATTTTCATCTATATACTTTTAGTTTAAAGTTAAAGTTTTAAAAAAATAAATAAATGGTAAAGATAATCAAACTTGATCATCTCATTTTCATCTTTTCCTAACAATTACACTCATCTCTTCCAATATACCCAGTTATATGCTCGAAATACCATATCCTCCAGAAAAAAACATTATGCCTGCTTGGGAACAGAATTACAGAGCCAACGTGTCATGAGCAAAGAAGATAGCATAATGCAGTAAAAGCGGTGTGGGCAGGGGACAAGGTAAAAACAAACTATATTTAGTGGTAACAAGAGAATAGTAGTAGGAATGATTACTTAAACCCAGTCAATGAATGGTTGCTTATTAGAAAAGAGCAATTTAAAAAAAAGAAGTGGGAAAGAGACCCACGTCCTGCCAGAGGGTTATACCATGGGGACAGCATAATTCTAAGGATATAGCACTTCTATTATATAATAAGGAGATTACTAAAAAAAAATATCTTAAATAACTTGTAACTTGATGGCACTTGTTTGGCTGCTCCTGGCACGAAAAATTATTACCTAAGCACTTTTTCCTTCAACTGGCCTACCAAAGAAGGCAACTAGCCTGGCAAACAAAAAGAATCAACTTCATCTGGATTGACCTTGTCTGAGGGGTCTCCTAAGCTAAGACAGGCTTTTTAACTGGACGGCTCGAGAGGAACAAAGAGGTATTTCAGCTGTCTATCCTTTGCCAACGTCAAGGTAGACTGATGGGGAATCGCAACAACTTAAGAAGACTCGTGACGGTACAGAACTCATCAGTTTTAGTTAATACTTGTTGACGGTACAGATCTCAATGTACACAAACCATAGATCTCAATGTACATGAACCTAAACAAACATAATATTAATATTAATACTGATTGCTAAAGTAGAAAAAAAAAATATTACGAATTGTGTATTACATACCATTTCTTACACACCCGCTGTTCCCTTCCTGTATAACTTGTACAATGTAGGTATATTATTAATATTAATATTATGTTTGTAATCAAATTCTCTTAATCAACTAAAAATAATTTTAGCCCTCCCTTATATATAGTCCATATGAAAGGGAGGGCTAAACTAAACAAATTATACCTAAATTTGTTTTCTCTACAATGTATCAGGTACCGTTGACCAAATAATAACAAGTGTCTCCTTTCAAAGGATAACAATGAATGTAACATAAAATCATGTTTGTTTTCTAAGTGGGTCCTTTTGTTCACAATCAAAGCAAGCAAGCCTGGGTGTTGGCTGTGTGCCTAGTGGACCAGCACCACCCCAATCCAATTGCACAGCCCGTTACAGCACCACAACAAACATTTTTCTAAACCATTTTTTCGTATGTGACAATAAAAGTATGCTTACAATCACTATTGTTCCCTTGTGAGGTGAAGTTTAGGTTAGGTGTCCTAATAATAAGACGTGAGTGTCGACGAGTATGAGATCCCAGCATAATGGTATGCCTATTACTTGATTGTAGTTCCTACTGCCTATAATTGCCCAAATGTAAAAGCTATAATTTTCTACTGTTAATAAATTATATGATGTCGTTTAAGAATGATTAATAAATGTGTTTTATATTGAGTACTAAAGGCTGAACAGGTCTGAATTATGTCCAGTAAGAAAGAGATTGAATCATCTATATTCTATACACATATACAGTCAATGATATTTGGATGCAACTTGTAAATTCAAACACATATTCAACAGCTTTCCAAATTCATATTGTTTGTTATGAAATTTGGATGCAACTGGCAGAGAGGCAGCTTTGTGAGGTTATGGTGGGTCATCAAATTCATTGACTTCTACGGTGGTTAACACAAGGAGACTCAACCAAGCATTAGCTAGTGGTTATCGCTCGACCAAGAAACAAAACTTGATCTAGCTTGGAGAAGGCAAGATATGGAGTCATATATCCATATCATTACATTAGGAAATCAGATACCAACTTTGCTAAAGTTAATTTAAATAACTAAAGAGAGATGGGGGATGCAAGGAGAAGGATTCAGATTCCTAAAACCTCGGACGGATTGAAGAAAGACAAAAGAAAAAAAAATGCAGGTGACAACAATGCTGTTATGCTTTGCAGTGGACAAAAGTTTCTTTCAACCAAAGATGACAACAAAGGGAAAAACACTCACATGGCATTATTTGTGCTAATTAGCTCGCTTACATATTCCAGTTCGTAGTTCAGATTTTATTGAATACCCTCCTCCAACTTTAATGGACATCCACGGTCAATGCTACGAAACACAGTTTTCTACAGAAAGAATTCTACTCCATTAACGGTTCCTTTCCTAACCCATTGGGATCTCAGTTCCCATGAACCTAATCAATTGGGGCGACGCATTTGTCGCACACTGTTTAAAGGGAGCTAAGACTAATCTATATTTTGCAATTCTTGTTAATTTGGGGTTAGGGGTTGGTAACTAATTGTAACTATTCTGAATTCATAAACTGATTCCTTGGCTTTCCTAATGATTGATCTAAAGGCTCTCGCCTTCCTTACCAATAATAAACAGCACAGTCTACAACAGAGCATTATTTCATCACAATTTATAACAGAGAAATACCAAGTCCCAAACCCAACGACAAAGACGAAATTAATTAACGAAGCCACACACCATGAACAAATTCAGATATCAGAGTAAACAAAAAACATATTCTGAAAAAAAAAAAAACTAAAACTAAAACTACAATCCAATAACAACACAAACCTGGAGTAAAACGACGAGAGGAATTCTGGAAATCAAAGAGAGACCAATGCTTAGACGAATCAAAGATGAAGATGCTTAGATTATTAGAAGAAGTAGGTCACGATAGTGCAGAGCGTAAAACACCGTGAGACAGTCACTGTTATTTAAGATTTTAATTTTAACTAGGATGTTTTTGTCCAAAAATTTCACTAAACCACTTTTTTTTTAATGTTTTAAGTTGTTTCTAAAAAAAACCTTCTATTTCTTTCAAAATAAATTATATAAACGTGCATAAAAATTCAATAATTAATTTAATATATGAAGAAAGTTTAATTTAATTGGTTGAATTTAAGTAGAATATGCGTATAATGTAAATTTCTTGTATTGAGTATGATTCTCATTGTAAAAAAAACGCGTATTTTAATATGATAACAATTAAATTGATTTATGAGAATTAAATCTAATAATAGTTAAATTTATGCAAAACTCATTCTTATCATTTCGTAAATTATTTGGAGTTTTTTTTATGTAAATTATTTATATTTTTTTTTATTTTTTACTAGTGCAATTTATATAATTTACATGTATCATGTGTAATATATATATATATATATATATATATATATATATATATATATATATACAATAGAGAAA